ACTCTGTTGCCCAAGCTGGAGTGCAGTATTAGGAACACAGCTCACTGCAGCCTCAAACTCAGGCTCTAGCAATCCTCTCATCTTAGGACTTCCCTAGTAGCTGGGACTTACAGGGACACACCACCGTGCCCAGATAATTTTTAAAATTTACTTTTCTTTTTTTTTTTTTTTTGCAGAGACAAGTTCTCTCACGATGTTGCCCAGGCTGATCTCAAACTCCTGGGCTCAAGTGATCCTTCAGCCTCAGACTCCAGAGCAGCTGGGATTACAGGCATAAGCCATCGGCCCCGGCCACAAAGACATTTTTAATAATAATACGGTTTTTCCATGGCCATGGACAGAGGTGTAATTGTAGTGCTTTTATTTCAATTCAGGGCACATGTTGTAAGGAGAAAAAATAAGTTAGGACCAGAAATTTCTCAAGTAAAGAGGAGTGATCAATAAGAAAAAGCAATTTTGAAAATAAATCACCTTTTCAACAGCTTTTTTCTTTTTGGAGGCTGACGGTCATATTACAAGGAGCTTGGAGCTCCTTAAAATGGCCGAACAGAACTAGCAAATGACAAGTGATTTTTTCTTTTCTTGCTGATTAAAAAAAAAAAAAAGCATGAGTCGGATTTACCTCGACAGTGGCTGGTGTGAAGTACCATGGGGAGATGGTGATTTAGGTATGATATCAAACCTTACAAAATCGCATAGATATAAAAACGTGAGTGTTTTTCTCTAGCAATGTGGTGTTTACAAAACAGGGCAGGCTCTCTCCCTGTAAATTATATACCAGATGTCTGGGAACAAGAGTTGCTTCTAAATATAGTCAGAGCCACCTCCTGTGTAGCTACAGAGAGAGAATAACTAGGAATTTGATTAGCATGGTGAAGTTACAGACACTTTATAAAACAATTTCACACTGAATAATTTATCCTAAAGAGTTAAATTACACGTTTTTTAAAGTAAGGGTTGCATTGCTTTTATCTTAGACACTCAATGAAAGTCTAACACAATTATAAAAGTAGTAAGTAGCTGTACATAAAGATATTTATATCTTGTTTGGTCTTGAGATGGCTCATAAATCTCTCTGATATAAAGCATATTGATATTGAAAGATAAGATATTTCATATTAAATATATTTGAAGAGAAATCTATAGTTACTAAATTTCAGATTTTGAAGGGGAAAAACAAGGTGTGAAGACTTAGTTCATACAGAAATTGGAAGGTGATATACATTGTAGTACCTTTGATTCTCATATGTTATTAGATTAATTACATAAATTCTTCTAAGGAATTACAAGAAAATAAATTACAGGGAAATAAATACACAGTTCAAAACAAGTAAGATTTTTTTTCATTGAGTGGTATACATGTTCCAGAAATTATTTCTGTAATAGATTGATACAGCTTCATTTTTTATTTCTCATTTCAGAAAGAAAAAAAATGTAACAGCAGCTGTTGGTTGCTGGCTTATATATATTTATAAATCACTCCATTGTTGTATGTCATTTAATTAAGGTGACAGTGCAGAAAAATATTTTAGTCAATAAATGATGTTATTTATTACTTGAGTTTCCCTATCTTGGGAGGAAATATTGTTCCCTAAAACTCATATTAAAATCTCCCCCATTTACCAGCTTATGTGTAGCCAATAATGCTAGTTATTATTTATTGTGCATTTAGAGAGCAGGCATTTAACATGCTCGTTTCTAATCCTCCCTCAATCCTGCTTCATGGATTGTGCTTTTCTCATTTGATGAGGAAACAAAACCTCAGGGAGGTTAGATGACTTTATAAAGGCTACTGTCCTAAGCTGGGGTGCCAATCCAGGCCTGCCCAGCCCCGCAGCCTTTTTCCTACACTCATCCCATTTCTCACTTCCTCCTACTCTCTATTTTCTTCTTCTCCTTCTGCTCTCCACTCCCATCCCCCTTCTTCAAGGAGCAGTGAGAGATTGCAAGGTCCTTTGCAGGTGAGCAGAGCTCAGTTCATGAAATGATAGCACGTGCTTCGTTCTTGCAAGATGGGCCAAGGGCTCCCTCATCCAACATTCAAAACTCGTTTCTGAGGATGACAATGACATTCAACTTTTCCATGCCAAAGGAGGTCCTATTAATAGAAATAATAGCAAGTGCACATACATAATATCTCGCTTCAGTTTTTTTTTTTTTTTTCCTCTCCTCATCTTGATGGACTTAAGTTTGGATGATAAAGAAAATGGCAGTGGGGCCAGAAAGCTAAGTGACAGCCTGGGGGGAAACTGGGGGATGGGATTTGGATACTGACATTTCTTTATTTTGTCCCTGATGTGGCCTGCTTTCTAAATAATCCTTTCATTCTCTCTCTCTCTCTCTTTCTCTCAATCCCAGCAAGTAATGCTGAAATTGTTCAGAAGACTAATACAATCATTTTGATGAACAGACACATTAGTATGCAAGGGAGAAGAGCTGACTGGAAGAAACATCAAATACCCTTCAGCTACAAATATTGTTAGCTTTACTTCCCCTTAAAGGCCATCATAATATACTAGAAAGGAATGATTCCAGAATGAATCCCAAAGGCCGCGTCTCTAGGCCTTTACCATTCCCAACAACATCTGGTTAATTGTCCTGTTAGCTAGTGACAGTGGAAAAATAGGCAGGGATAATGGGTCGACACCATATAATTCACCACCTGTGTTTAAGAGATAAATTAAGGATAATTAAATATACTATTATACAAGAGAGAAACTGATCATTATAAATATTATGAGTGATTATTTAAATCTAAACACATTTAGGCATTGATTACTAAAATTTTTATGGATTTATTATTGCTTTGCTGATTAAACTGAACAAAGTGGCTTCACATATGCAATCTATTTGCAAAGTTAGTATAATTTTCATATTTTCTTAAATATTTAAGTATTCACAAAAAATTGATATATGTTCTGAAGCTCTGCAGAATTTCATTCTGCAATCATGTTGTTTAATGATGATACAAACAGAGGCCTACGATTTTTAAAGCATCAGATTTCATCTTAGAAGCTGGAACTGGCAAAATGCTTTCCCCAAAAGAACATTATTTGTGATGATGACGTTTGCATTTTATCTAATGATAATATAATGTTCCAATTTCGTATAAGTTATTACTTTGCCACCAATTTTTGGCCTACCAAAAAATATTTATTGGTGTGCATTATTGCAATTCTGCCTTGAATATAGAATACAGCTGTCACACAGTAGAAAGAAGTAATACACAGTATGGCTAATCACAGTAACTTGTTGCAAATGAAAACTCAAAAGAATTATGTGTCTGGCTTACTAACTTTTCTAGATAAGTGAGAAATAACACTAGATGGAAACTTATATCTGTTATTGAGAGAGAAAGTATACATTAGTCTTCTTTTGGGAGTTGTAACGTCTTTAATTGTAAACCTCAATTATTGTTATTCTGTAATTCAGGATAAACACCAATGCAAGAAACTGGCTGGGAGTTCTATCATTTCAGGGACATACTCCAGGAATTGCTTTTCTTCTTATAAATACGTGATAAGACTTAATTGTCATTGTCTTTTTTTCTATTGAAATCAGGGAGTAGAATAAATTTGCTGAAAAGGAATCAGAATGAAACAGATTATATTTTAAAATAATAAGAGATGATTAATAAAGACTGTGTAGACAATAGAAATTCCCTGACTATCTAAGAAACAGAACCCAAGAATGAGAAAATTACTTTTAATTTTCAACCCACTAAATTAAAAAGATCTTGCTAAAACTTAGAATCAAAGTGAGCCTTTGCCTCCCTAATTTGTTTACTTACAACTTAGCATGGATTACAACGTTCCTGTACTATTGCTATGGTATCTTGTTTCAGTAAACTTTATCTTGTCAAGCAACAGCCTACGTTTACTAAGAATACAATGAAATAAAACTTCTATTCAGATTGAAGGGTTTTATTTTGGAGGGGGTGTTAGAAGGAAAAATATAGTAATGAAATCAATGACAGGAACAAAATGTCTCAGAGAGATGTATGCTGTTACCATTGGCTGAAATGTTTCACATACTCTGTGCATAAGAGTGTGTGTGTATTGGGAGATAGGATCACTATCTCTCAACAAGTGAAAAGTATTGTCACTGCAGGTAGGAGGCTGCAGTTTCCATTTTACATCCACCCCTTTCTGGCTGTGCGACCTTAGGCAAGTTATTTCACTTCTGCGTGTCACAGTTTCTTCACCTGGAAAACAGAGATAATAATAGCGCCCACCTCAAAGGATCAGGGTGAGGATAAAACAAGTAAATTTATGCCCAGCAACCAGGGCAGGACGTGGCATATGGTGAGGACTGTGCAAGCATTCTCTGCTTTTATTTAGGCAATCAGGTTATCATTAAATAAGTTGGTTTTTCTCAATGTTAAGATTGTTACCCCAGCCTGGTGCAGAGGGCAGAAGTCATTTCCAGTTATCAATCCCTTTGTGTCTGGTAATATTACAGAATTTTCTCAGAAATACAAATCCTACGGGAGAGCAGGCATAGTTTCTCTTCTCTATGTTGACTTACAAGTAATGGTAATAGCAGGTAATGTTGAATGGTGTTTACTATGTGCATATGCTAGTCTAAGTGCAATGTATAGTATCTGATTTCTCATATCTCCTTGAGGTATATACAATTATTATTTCCATCTTCAACTTGAGGAAATGAAATCTAGATGAAATGTAATGATTTAGAGAGTCGTATGGTCTAACTCCAGAGCTGATGCTCCTAGGCCTGACTGGCATGACCATGCATTGCCTTCTTTGTTTTGCCTTTTGGTTTATGCAGAGTGATTTTACTGCGGGGAAGATAATGAGCTGCCTTGGAGGTCTTTCCTTATCACAATGATGATACCCATTTTATAGCAACAGGCAATAGAATGCTTAACCACTAGGACACTGTTGAGAATCACTCAGGAGGGCTTGGGTGCAGAAGCAGTGCTCATGCTTCACTTCAGACGTGGGGCTCAGCTACTTGCCCTCCATGGCAACATGTTGCAGCCCCTACACCGCAGAGTCTGGGCAAGCTGAGGTGGGGGGACCACAGGATATAGTAGAAGGAGCTGGGAGTGTGGTGAGGTGGGCATTCAAGCTGCTATTCCTGCTAAAAGGACAAAACAAAATTGAGAGGAGGGGTTCATTGTGAAAAACTATGAAAAGAACTTTTTTGTGGCTGATCTGGTGACCCTAATTCTCCTCTTCTCTGTTAGGTGTATTAGTCAGGGTTCTCCAGAGAGACGGAACAAATAGGTGATAGAGATAGATAGATAGATAGATAGATAGATAGATAGATAGATAGATAGATAGATAGATAGATAGATAGATAGACAGACAGACAGACAGACAGACAGACAGACAGACAGACAGATAGATAGATAGATAGATAGATAGATAGACAGACAGACAGACAGACAGACAGACATAGATGCAGATAAATGAGAGGAGATTTATTAGGGGAATGGGCTCACATGACTGGAGGCTGATAAGTCCGGCGACAGGCTGTCTGCAAGCTGGAGACCCTGGAATGTGGTAGTGTGGCTCAGTCCAAGTACCAAAGCCTCAGAACCAGGGAAGCCAATGTAATTCTCTGTCAGAGGCCACAGGCCTGAGAACCCAGGGGGCCGCTGAAGTCCTGGAGTCTAAGGTCAGAGAAAGTCTGGAGTTCTGATGTCCAAGGGCAGGAGGAAGAGAGTGTCCCAACACCAGGAGAGTTTTTTTGTTCTTTCCAGGCCGCCAACCATACGATAGTGCCCATCCATACTGCAAGAAGCTCTTCTCCACTCAGCCACCTACTCACAAGACAATCTCCTCTGGAAACACCCTCGCAGACACACTCATAAGCAGTACTTTACCCATTCTCTAGGTGTTCTTTAATTCAGTCAAGTTGATACCTGAAATTTACCATCACTAATCCACCCCTTGTCAACGTGGCTCCTACATGCATCTCCTTAAGCCACATAATCTCCAAAACAAATGCAACAACAAGGTAATGGTTCCACCAGATATAATATTACTATCCTGACAACAACAGAAAACGCACTAATCCCTTCTCCAGAAGAAGAGGTAAAGTTCTGGGATGATGTTTACTCCTTTCCTGATATCTCATGATTTAAAAAATCAGTACATCTTATGTTACCTATAAAGGAATAAAAAGGGAATGAAAATAAAGATAAATTTGCTTAATATATGTTAACATATTCTTAACAAAATAGGGAGAAAGTACTCATGACAATTATAGTTCTCATGTCTGTCACTTGTCACGTGATCATAGCTGGTGTTTACAACTACCTTCTTCTACTACCCATTATGTAACCCCTTTGCCTTCAGCAAGCATCCTTGCTGGTCATACTTCTTTATCTGGCAAGATGACCCAAACCTTCATTCCTGCTGCGCCATTCATAGTCCTGCCTGGATTGGGTGTTGTGATTTTCCTTTGATCTTATTCACAGGGCATGATAATACTAGGAGATGCCCTAAAGGATCTCCTGTACTCTGGACATACTCTTCCTTAGCTCCATTGTGGGGTACTAGTCCAGTTTCCCCATGGAAGTCTGGATCTGTCACCCCAGTCAACACCATAACTCCCTTCTTCTTTGCCTGTTGACTCAGAGGCGGGAGGAGCTCATTCTGAGCTTCCATGGCAATGGAAACATTGTTGTATCTCTGGGCGGAAGCATTCCTCCCTCTGGAACTAAGACCTCTAGGCCAGCCAAGCATAAAGTCAGGAAGAAAAATGTTATTAGTGGTTCACTAGGGGTAATAGTGAGTGCAGATAATTCAAAAGGCATAGTAAGCCGGGCGCGGTGGCTCATGCCTATAATCCCAGCACTTTGGGAGACCGAGGCAGGTGGATCCCTTGAGGTCAGGAGTTCAAGACCAGCCTGGCCAACATGGTGAAACCCTGTCTCTACTAAAAATACAAAACTGATCCAGGCGTGGTGGTGTGCGCCTGTAGTCCCCGCTACGCAAGAGACTGAGGTGGGATAATCTCTTGACCTGGGAGACAGAGGTTGTACTGAGCTGAGATCATGCCACTGCACTCTAGCCTGGGCAACAGAGTGAGATTCCATCTATAAACAAAAATAAAAAAATAAAAAAAGGCACAGTAAGTCTAGGGTGGGTCAATTTCAGAGCATGCATCGTGGCTCATGTTGGGAACTGCCTATCTGGTTCCTGCAATAAAAGTCAAATTTCCTAATATACAGTATAAGTATCTGGGTCACCCTGTTGAGAACTGCGTGTGAATAATTTATGTGACCTTGGAATTGATTGTATCTACTAGTAATCACTTTGACTCACAGATTTTTGTTTTCTATTTTTTTTTTTTTTTTTTTGTTTTTTTTTTTTCTTTTTTGAGGTGGAGTCTTGCTCTGTCACCCAGGCTGAATTGCAGTGCGCCTTCTTGCTCTGAGAACATTATTATCACAGGTAATATATTACATATAGTTTAAAATATACCCCCTTTCCATGTACATAGAACATAGTCAAAACAAATCAATCCAAATATAATAAAACTACTTGATTTTTACTTCTGCTCTTTTATTTAACTCATGTCGGAGAAGTCAATAGTTTCTCACTTATCTTTGAAAATTCTTTTATAAATATTTTGATATAATTGTATGTCTTAGTATTTTAAATTTCCCAGAGAGTGTATTTGTTCATCGATAGACATTTAAGGAAGTAATGATTGGATTTATGTGTTTTTGACTAAGCTTTCTAAATATGCTTAACTCTGCACAATTGTACAGCTCATTACAGACTTAGTTCAGTAATAAAATATCCAAAAAGAAGTCATCAGATCAGATGCCAAAGCAATCTTGTTTTACATTATGGTAATCTGTGATATGCTCTGGGGAACTGCCTAACAAAACTACAGGACAACCATTTCTATACTTGCCTGCTCAGCAGACTCACCAGAGGAAAAATGAAAAACACAAATCCTTATTGAAAAAACCACTCTGGCTTGGGTATTTTTTGTTGTTGTTGAAAGCTTCTGATGTATTTTAAATGTACAACCAGGCTGGGCACGGTGGCTCATGCCTGTAATTCCAGAACTTTGGGAGGCGGAGGCAGGTGGATCACCTGAGGTCAGGAGTTCAAGACCAGCCTGGCCAACATGGTGAAACCCCATCTCTACTAAAAATAAAAAAATAAAAAAAAGTAGCCGGGCACAGTGGCTTACGCCTGTAATTCCAACACTTTGGGAGGCGGAGGCAGGTGGATCACCTGAGGTCAGGAGTTCGAAACCAGCCTGGCCAACATGGTGAAACCCCATCTCTACTAAAACTACAAAAATGAGCCGGGCATGGTGGCTAGGGCCTGTAATCCCAGCTACTTGGGAGGCTGAGACAGGAGAATCAATTGGACCCAGGAGGCAGAGGTTGCAGTGAGCCAAGTTCATGCCATAGTACTCTAGCCTGGGCGACAGAGCAAGTGAGACTCCATCTCAAAAAAAAAAAAAAAAAAATCAAATGCACACCCAGATCTGGAAGTCATGTGCTAGTGTTTCCCAGTCTCAAGGAGAAAGAACATTTTCAGATGGCTATGAAGAAGGGAAAGGGGAAAGGTCGTGTTGCCCAATTTAAACAGCACTGCCTGAGTCTCAAGACCTGGATCCTAGGCTGGCGCTTGAAGTGAACCACAACCTGCCTGAGCCTCCTTTTCTCATCTGTAGAGTGAGACACTTCCTCAGGGTCTTCCAGCTCTGTGATAACCATATGACTATTTTGTTTTGTTCATCACTTGATGGGAGGAAAATAAACACTGAAAAGGGGTCAACAATTTCTAAAGGGTAATTTCTCAGAAAGGGCCATGCAGTTCTTTGAAGAAGAGCTGTCTTAGGATGTTTTTCAGTGTGTGTCTCTAATCCACTGACAGTTCAGCCAAGAATCACAAGACGCTGTCCCCAGAGCCTGATGCGAAAGGGAGTCTCAGCCTTCTCGGGTGCTTCTGCCATCCGGTGCCTCTAGTGTGTGGCCGTGTGGGATTAGCTTTCCAAGTCTAACTGCTGGCTAGCCAACTCGAAATCTTTGAAAGGATTATGTTTTCTTGCCTTCATTTAAAAATTCTTCATGTCTATATTGGTGTTACAGATCTTGGTGATCTGTAGTATGTTATGAGGATTTGGCTTTGAGGTTCTTCCTGTTGCAGTACTTAGTATGCTTGTCAACAGACAATGAAATACCAAAGATATCAAGAAGGTAAACAATCTCACATCCTAATAGTATTTAATTATTTCAGTGTGATATTCTGCTTTTGACTGGAATACAGTGAAAAAGTGTTTCCTTAGTTTTGATTGAATAATTGCAATAAAATAATGTTTTCATATGCTGGGCATTATAATAATAATTGCTTTACATACATCATCTCATTTAATTTTCATGATAATCTTCAAATTTAGAGGTTAGGGTATTTGTCCAAATTAAAGCTATTCATGATGGAGCCACGCTTCAAACCCAAGTCTAATTGATTTTGTAGTCAGAGTTCTTAACCACCAGCACACAACTTCATCATACCTATTTAGGGACAAAAATTCACAAAACTGTTTACTATAGTATAGAGTATTTCTCTCCCACTCTTGACTGACCTGTAATTTTATAGCCTCAATCAAAACAAGTCAGCCGGGTGTGGTGGCTCACGCCTGTAATCCCAGTACTTTGGGAGGCTGAGGCGGGCGGATCACGAGATCAGGAGATAGAGACCATCCTGGCTGACATGGTGAAACCCCGTCTCTACTGAAAATACAAAAAAATTAGCCAGGCGCGGTGGCGGACACCTGTAGTCCCAGCTACTTGGGAGACTGAGGCAGGAGAATGGCGTGAACCCGGGAGGCGGAGCTTGCAGTGAGCCGAGATCGCGCCACCGCACTCCAGCCTGGGCGACAGAGCGAGGCTCCATCTCAAAAAAAAAAAAAAAGTCTTTAGTTCTACAAAACAAAAAGGAGTGTTTAATTCTACAAAACAAAGCACAAAATAAGGACAAAAACAATTAAGAAAGCAACATTTAAAGAAAATGTGCCGGAATCTATTGAACCGAATACTTAAGGCATTATTGGGTCCAGGCATGATGGTGCCACAATGATAGGGCTAGGAGTCCGGACAACGGATTGACCCCATGGCATTTGAACTGGCCTATCCTGCTAAACTGGAAACTGGTTTGCCTGAGATTCTTTAATCTCTAAAATATATCACTCTCTAGTGACATCAATATAGATGATTTTTTAAGTATATAACTCTTTGCTCACCTTTCACAATTATGTCACATTTAGGGTTATAATGTAAATGCAGTAACCTTAGACCATGTCACCCCATTGCACGAAGCCTGCCTCGGAGATCACGTGGCATGCGCCAGAACTCTGCTGGAAGCAGGAGCTAATGTAAGTACCTTTCAAAACATTAATAATTCAACATCTACCGACAGAGAGAATCCAACAGGGTTCTCATTTTACTTCTCCTCCCTTCATTCTCGGTAATTTTCAAAAATAACAGAATAAAAATAAAGCTCTCGAATTCCTTAGCCTTCTTATTGCACTCTGAAAAGGATTTCCAATCATTGCATAAATGGGTAGCATGCTGCATCGTAATATAGACTATTCTCTAGGTTATTTCCTGCTTTCATGACTCTAAATAGCAGTCAATGAACATATTTAGGTCTATAATGTTTGCCCATCTTTTGGATGATTTTCCTTAAATAAAGTCTCAGAAATAGAATTACCAATTTTACCACTTTAAACTAGCAATGTGGCTTCATTACAACTTTATCATCATTACACTTTTTTCTTCATGTTTATTCTTACTGAAAAGTATCTAATCATTGAATTAGATCTTATTTGCCATTTGAGCATGCATTTTTTTCATGATTTCCGCTAGTTTTATGCCCATTCCAATGAATTATCTGCCACATCATGTTTCTGTCTGTTTTACAGCTTTTCTTGTTGATGCGTAAAAGCAAAATATACTTTGTCATATTTACTGTTCACATTTTCCCAAGTATTTCTGTTAGCCGATCACGTACCTTTTGAAAATGCATAACTAAGTCAGTTAATCATGTATGACTTATGAATCTTATTTTTGGATATTTTGGTTTGGTTTAGGTAAATGCAATCACGATAGATGGCGTGACTCCGTTATTCAACGCATGCTCCCAAGGCAGTCCAAGCTGTGCAGAGCTGCTTCTGGAGTATGGCGCCAAAGCCCAGCTGGAGTCCTGTCTTCCATCCCCCACGCATGAGGCTGCCAGTAAAGGTAACTTAGTTCTGGGATTAAGTGACAAGGGGAGAAAGTTTCTTTAGCAACCTGCAGTGCTCTGTTGATCTTTCAGTGAATGATACCACAGGGCAAGCCTGGGGTGAAGTGTGTGGGGTGGATGGGCATTGAGTAAAATCCTCTACTTTGTGTTGGCAGGTCACCATGAATGTCTTGACATCCTGATATCCTGGGGCATAGACGTTGACCAAGACATTCCTCATTTGGGAACTCCTCTCTATGTAGCTTGTATGTCACAGCAATTCCATTGCATCTGGAAACTTCTTTATGCTGGTATTTTCCTTTTAAACATCTTCCGTTCTGTCCATACACACAAGCAGTTATTTATTTCTCTAAATGAGCATCTTTAAAAATTAGATCCCATTGCTAAATATGTTCTTATTGTAAGCATTTTCACACATGAATAGAGAACCAATAAAAAGAACCTCATTCTTGATAAATCGGCTTCCCAGCTCACAGATAGATACATCATCTCTGCATTTTGCATGCCCTGCATTAGCAGACATATGGGTATGTAATGGAGTCTGAAAGCTCTGCTTTTAGGTCATAAAATTAGGATCCTCAAGATTGAATATGATGTTGCCAAGTATGTATATATCTTGGAACAAATCCATCAAAAGAAATTTTCAGGATAACTGCTTGGACAAGCTCATCTTCTGCTAACCTTAAAAACTCACGCACTTTTCTAGACTTTGTACTTTTTGTCCTGCTTACTTGAAAAGACTTACTGCCCTTTTCCACTTACTTGAAAGAAATCAGTTCCTCAAGGTTTGTTTCAAGTAAGTTCAGCTTTAGTCCCTGAAAAACATTTCTAACCCATTGAGACCATAGTGGTCCCACTCACCACAGGACTCAGAGTCCCGTTAGGATTTGAATCAGACCTTTTTTTCCATTCCTCTTTTCTCTAGCATGGTTCCTCTCTCTCATCCTCTCATGTGATCGATGTTTAGAAGATAGATAAAATGAGTAAATGGAGTTCTATGCTATTTATTGTTTATGAGAGTCATTTGATCCATGATATATACTCATCTTTATTTTTAGTAGCCCTTTTATGCACTACTCACATTATCTTAGCTAACTGAGAAACTTCTTGCAAGCAGGGTCTACATCTACAATTTCATTCTCATTATACCTACTCAGTCTTAGACATGAGTTCTGTTAATAGTCATTGACAGATTGTTATTTTTTGGCTATATTCTCCCGTGAAGTTTGTATGATCGATAGAGTTTATGCTTTCTAGCAAGCTTGTCCAACCTGCAGCCCATGGGCCCCATGTGGCTCAGGATGGCTTTGAATGCAGCCCAATAAAAATTCATAAACTTTCTTAAAACATTATAAGATTTTATTTTATTTTATTTTATTTTTAGCTCATCAGCTGTCATTAGTGTTAGTGTATTATATGTGTGGCCCAAGACCATTCTTCTTCCAATGTGGCCAAGGGAAGCCAAATGATTGGACATCCCTGCTTTAAAGCCTTTTGTTCATTTGCTAAGAATATTATTCTTTCCACCAAACATTTTATACTGGGTTTTAAAAAATATGGGCCTGTAATCCCAGCACTTTGGAAGGCCTAGGCAAGCGGATCACCTGAGGTCAGGAGTTTGAGACCCACCTGGCCAACATGGTGAAACCCTGTCGCTACTAAAAATACAAAAATTAGCTAGGCGTGGTGGCACGTGCCTGTAGTCCCAGCTACTCGGGAGGCTGAGGCAGGAGAATCACTTGAACCCAGGAGGCGGAGGTAACAGTGAGCCGAGATCGCGCCACTGCACTTCAGCCTGAGTGACAGAGTGAGACTCCGTCTCTCTCTCTCTCTCTCTATATATATATATATAAAATATGGAAAAAGTACTGTTAGTATTTGTTGATTGATGGTTATTTTCAGGCTCTTTTCTTCCATAAAATTGACATAACCAACAAAGTTTATGCTTTCTCTATGGAAATTTTGTTATGGAATATAATTTTTTCACTAAACATTTTATATTTGTTTTAAAAATATTGCAAATGATTACATTTATTGAAATTTGAAAGGAGCAGAAGGGTCATAAAGGGACACTTAAAGTGTACTGCCTCGTAAAGACATCGTTAGTTTTAAAGATAGTATCGGAAAACAGAGTTGAAAAGAACTTATGCATTTTTATTGGTAGACATTTCTGGTGGTGTAACCGTTTATGTACCAGAAAATGGGATGGTTATTTTTAACAGTACTAAACAGCATTTATTTATTACAAATGCATTGAATGACCACCACGTGCCAGGATTTGCACTAGGATAAAGTAAGTATGCAGGAGGTAATTTAACATGTAGGCTGCATTTTAACATAAGCATTTTTAAAAACTTTCCTTTCATGCAGCTATCATCAATGTGCCTTTTGATTTACAAAGCTCAATATCTTTATATACTTATTGACGTAAACTACATAAGTGAGAAATGGCAGGAAAATCTATATACATTTTACTTAAATAGCTCACATATTCATGAGTTTCCCAAGAAAACCAAAGAGCTTCATTGCCTTAAATAAATGAAAAGAATAATAGAAATAAGCACCTGAATAATTCTAAAAGCAATCAACCATGATGAAAATAAAAATAAATGAACTTTAATTGTGCACTCTTTATAATATTAGTTAATATGATTACTTTGGGGATCATTGAAAAGTTAAAAAGCTCAAGCATAAGAAAAGTGTCAGAGAATAACATAACAAATGTATGTACCCTCTCCTATTCAGATGTGCCCAGTTTATATAGATGTTTATGTACATATGAGGCATACATGTATATGTAGATACTGTATATATACATATATATATATAAAGAAATAACTCATAACAAATGAGTTGAAGTCCCCTTAGTAACCTTCCTCTATTGCCTTTCCTTTTCTACCCTCACTGAGGCAATTGGCTTATTTAATAATTTTTATGTATATTTATCTTCACTCCCTATTACACGTAGGTGCTGATGTACAGAAAGGCAAATATTGGGATACTCCATTACATGCTGCTGCCCAACAATTCAGTACAGAAATTGTAAACTTACTGCTAGAATTTGGAGCAGATACCAATGCCAAAAATACAGAGCTTCTGCGACCTATAGATGTAGCTACGTCCAGCAGCATGGTGGAAAGAATACTGCTTCAACATGAAGGTACGAAAAATACATGTGGAAACTTACAAAAACAAAAATATCTTTGCCTCAGATAGATGAAAGTGAGAGAGTTTTTGTTGGCATGGAAAGTAACAATGGCATAAAATGTGGAATATTATTTGTGAAAGTAAATAATTTTTAACTTAGGTTTTATCTATAAAGAAGATATCAGCCGGGCGTGGTGGCTCACACCTGTAATCCCAGCACTTTGGGAGGCCAAGGCGGGCAGATCACAAGGTCAAGAGATCGAGACCACCCTGGCCAACATGGTGAAACCCTGTCTCTACTAAAAATACAAAAATCAGCTGGGCGTGGTGGCTCGTGCCTGTAATCTCAGCTTCTCAGGAGGCTGAGGCAGGAGAATCGCTTGAACCTGGGAGGTGGAGGTTGCAGTGAGCTGGGATTACGCCATTGCACTCCAGCCTGGCAACAGAGTGAGACTCCATCTCGGAAAAAAAAAAAAAAGATATCATGATAATTTTAATTTTCTCTTCTTACCTAAAATATCATATTTCTTTGGTTAAATCTATTCAATTAGTTTCGGTGATGCATTATATGTAGTTCTGGTATCATATCTGCTGATTTCTATTTGGAACATGCCCCATTTTATAAGAGCACGAACCTTCTATGACATATTATAGAAATAAAATTAGTAAATATTTTTACATTTAAGACTTTTGTTCTAAAATAGGATTTCTTAAGCCTGGTCCAAGGACTGTAATATTTCTTTTAGCATACATATTAAACTTAATTTTTAAATTTCTCCTTTTAGTGCATAACACTTCTCAGGACTTTTTATTTATATCTCCTTCAAACAGCTGACTTTGTTTCTGAGGCTTTAAATTCAACAATTATTTCCTAAGCCTGAGGATTATAGTGTTTTAAAGAACATATGTGGAATATATCTGAATTATAATATCTTACAAATAAAAGCAATATAACTGCTTACATAAATTTCCCTAGTATAGTGGTCATACTATTCTAGGTTTACTACAAAGCATTACAGTTTTTATGGCTTTATGTTATATCCCTTACAACATAAAAAATTCATTTCTATTTTAATTAACAAATAGTTTCATGTCTTCTTGTAGCTACCCCAAGATCTCTTTACCAACTTTGCCGACTCTGTATCCGAAGTTACATAGGAAAACCAAGATTGCACCTTATCCCACAGCTCCAGCTGCCAACATTACTGAAGAATTTCTTGCAGTATCGATAAAACAGTAAAATAATTCTAAATACCTTGAAAAATCAAAATTTCTATTTCTTTTGCTTAAGGAATAGTTCATATTAAAATATGCTAAAGATAGGGTAAAAGTGAGTATGAGAGCAGCCAGGGAAGCAGTAAAGTATCAATTTTCTTTTTAAGTGTACTAGTTAGTACTATTGTTTTATCATTGATGCTGTCTTTGGATTATAGCATATTTATAATATCTATTTTTTGTTATTTCAACATACCTTCTTATTGATTTAGGAAAAAAATAATAAAGTCTCTATCATATGTTTTCTTTCAGATTGGAAAGAAATAAAACTCTTAGTAAAGTTATTCATATTATATTTATAAAGGTCTATATTCTTCAACTAATGGGTTAACTTTTTAATTTTGGCTATTGTAATTGGCTAACTTGTTATTGATATTGACATAAAATATGAGTATGGCTTAGCAAAGAGCAACTCATATGCTTTCTGAAACCAAGATGATGCTCGTTCAGGAAATCCACTATGTTGAATGTCCACTGGTCATTAGAATGACCACTTCATAAAGATAAATTGCCCACTGCCTTGCCCCCAGCAAAGGACTCACAAGTCACTTCTTTTCTCCATAGTACATGGACCTGTTACAGAAAAGTAATAGGATGAAAGGTCAATACTGCCCTCTCACCCTGAGATATTTAGAACATTACACACCTTCTAAGGCTATTTGAAGACTGCCTCCTTCTCAGGAGTAGCCCCTGATGATCTCTTATCAAGGCTGTTATATGCATATTACTCCAGCCTTCTTCCATGTCAGAAATTGTCAACAGCTAGTGATACTTGGGCTTAAGAAAATGAACTACATATCGAATTGATGAAGAGGCCCTGGATCATATTCCAGGGATCATCAAATCAGTCCAAGGATATGAAAAAACTGGAAGTTAAAATCTCAAATTGTGGAGTTTTTAAAGAGTGGGTGCCACTTAACACATTTGGAGACCTTAAAAAAATGTATATAAAGAACTTAATCTCACTGTTTCTAATTTTTTTTACACAAACAAGGATTTAGAATATACTGTATTTGCAGGTAATAGCAAGAGAGAGTATTGTATAAAAGAAGATATTCCTAAGCTAGTCCTCTGCAAGGGTAAATACTATGTTTATTCTCTTCAGCTTTAACTATACTTGAGTGCAATAGAAAACATAATAAAATTGTATGCCTTTTTTGTAATTCAGGGTCTCTAATGATTTTAGAAATAAGATAATCAACATACTACTCCTTGTAAAACAAAAGCAACTTTGGGTGAGTTTTATAGATTTATTAAATTTTGATAAAGTAAATATTTTGACCACTATTTTCAACAACCCAGGGTTTATTTTCTTCTGACTTTTTGGCTAACTTCCAGACTATGAGAAAACAAACTATGACTACACATGACCCCCAGATCACTAAGCTTGCATTTTGGCAGAAAAAAGAAAAAAAAAAAAAAGTAGTTGTGATTTAAAATGTTTGTTGAGATTTTCAAACATAGAAATAAAGCTGTAGCATATTCACTAAACAATGTCTTCTATGTGGATAAGGACCTTTAAATGTGTGTTGTATAGAATATCTCACACATTTGTAATGGATAATGTGCATTAAATGGGGTTCTTATTACAGAATAACCTGGTTAAACAGATACTAAAGCTGCTTTTGGGTAAAACAGGTTTCCACCAGTATTTTCCCTGAGCTAGAGGAGAAGTCTTAGATTGTAAGAGTAATGCAACACATCTATCTTATTAGTCTTGTGCCAATAAAAGAAGTAAATATCAAACATTAAAATGGACACTTTACAATTTCAGTATATCTGTACCTTGTATCTCAGCTTGAGTATGATTGTCTTATCAAAGTAGTGTTCTAACTTTAATGTATTTTATGTTTGTTATTATATTAAAGTGTGATTATTATTCACTGGAATAAAACACTTTGTGTTTGTCTCATTATTTTATTTTATAATGAAGGTCATGGAGTGACTCAGTTGCACTAATTTTTTTCACCACCGATTTCCAAATCACCGAATCTAATCCAAAACATATTTTTTATATATGTGACATATAATATGTATAATATATGTGATATTTAATACATATACATATATACATATTTTATACATATATGTATACACATACATTAAAGTTCAAGGACAAAATTTCACAAAGTAAAAGAAAAGAGTTACTATGTGACAAAAGATTTAAGAAATTTAGTAAAACAAGAACTATAGCTAGACACTGTTGACACAATTTTTTTGGATGAAAAAAGTAATTAAATTCCATTGTTTTTATAACCACAGCATATAGTTGGTGTTTCTGAGAAAGTAAATAGGTAGCAGAAAAGAAAGGCCTCTTCAGAGCAGAAGGCTTTCATCGTTCCATCATAGCACTGAGCTCAACTGAGTAGTGATCCAGCTACAAAGTAACTGAAAAATTATCCTTTCCCTTGGATTATTCCCACTTTTTTACTTCAATTTCTCTATCATTATCATTTAGAATTTAGCTTATTTTAAGGTTAGTCCTTTCTCTTAAAAACCTAACTGAACTTGCTTACACTTTCAAGATCGATGTAAGAAAATTTCTTAAGAAAATTCAGTGCATTACTAGCTCATCTGACTCATGACCTTAAGCAAATCATTTCATTTCAGCTGTGTAGGTCTCAGTTTTGCTTTTTTTTTTTTTTTCTTTTGAGACAGAGTCTCAAATCTCAGCTCACTGCAACCTCTGCCTCCTGGGTTCAAGTGATTCTCTGGCCTCAGCCTCCCTAGTAGCTGGGATTACAGGTGTGCGTCACCACACCCGGCTAATTGTTTGTATGTTTTGTAGAGACAGGGTTTCACTGTGTTGACCAGGCTGGTCTTGGACTCCTGACCTCAAGTAATCCACCCGCCTTGGCCTCCCAAAATGCTGGGATTGCAGGCGCCAGCCACCGCACCCAGCCAGTTTTCACATTTTTTAAATGATAGGTTTCCTTCCCATTTTCAGTTCTGTGTTCAAATTCATTGAGTCTTTTAATAAGGATGCGGGAATTCAAATACATTTTAAAAATTATTTTTTGGTTTATGAAAAACATATTGTGTGTAGAAATTTTATAAATCACATGTTCAGGTTTGCAAAACAGTTTGTTTTATTATTCTGAACAGAATTTAATTTTTACTCCAAGCTTCTTTCCACCAAGTGAAATCAGGAAATTCCCGGATAAACTCAGTCAATTCAGTGCTTTCTTAGTTTCTTCAGGTAAACTTTTCAGTCAATTCAAACCTCTACCCCTCCACCCGCCACCCCTGGCACCCACCCCATCCCCGGCCCGCGCCATTTCTTCCTGGAATGGCATCTAAATTCCAGGGGACATCTGTGAAATCCACTTTGTGGTGGGAGCATGCGTATGCTCCCGTCCTCTGGGAGACTCAAGTGTGTCAGGAGAGTTAGGCAGGTGATACGGGGCAGTGATTAGGTGACAGATCACAAAGGACATTTGCACTGATTTAAGAAAGCTCTTGCTGGGCGGTGGTGTGCACCTGTAGACCCAGCTACACAGAAGGAATGAGGCAGGAGGATCACTTGAGCCCAGGAGTTGAGGCTGCAGTGAGCTATGACCACACCACTGCACTCCAGCGTGAGATCCTGTCTCAAAAAGAAAAAAAGAGGAAAGAAAGAAAGAAAGAATGAATGAATGAACGAATGAATGAATGAATAAATAAATAAATAAGGAAGAAAGAAAAGTAAAGAAGGAAAGAGGAAAGGAGGAAGAAAAGAAAGGAAAAGGAAAGAAGTGAGAGAAAAGGGAAAGAAGAAAGGAAGGAAGAAAGAAGAAGGAAGGAAGGAAGGAAAGAAAGAAAGAAAGAAAGAAAGAAAGAAAGAAAGAGAGAGAGAGAGAGAAAGAAAGAAAGAAAGAAAGAAAGGAGAAAGAAAGAAAGAAAAGAAAAAGAGAAAGAAAGAAAGAAAAGAAAGTTTCTAATGTGAAAGTCAAAACACAGACTAGATCCTCCAAGAGCTCATTTTGTTTCCTTGTCACTGCAAATGCTCTTCCCTCTGCCTGGAACACACCCTTCTCCATCCTCCATCTTAATAACTGCTGCATTACCACCAACAATTAGCTAAAAAATCACTCTTTCAAGAAACCGTCCTCACCCTCCTCCCAGCCAAACCTTCCTCACTACCCCCCAGTCTGGGTTGCACACCTATCTATTCTCTTTGGGACCCTGTGCAGGCCTCTTCTAATCACATCCCTAGTACTATAGGACAAACTTTGATTTGCTTGTCTGCCTCCTGTGTAGGCTCTGAGTTTATTGTAGATGGAACTGTGTCGTGTTCACAACTCCCTCCTCATCAGTCAAAGATTCACCTACATTTCCTTCCCCTTAAAGGCCATCACATACTTCTTCAATTAGCTTGAAACACAAAAGTTCTTTTCTTCTCTGCCCACTAGGGATGTGTGTGATTGTGTGAGGAAAGATAGCACCCTTTCTCCTAGAGTGGGAACAAGAGAAAGGAGATGTTAAAAGAATTCAGCGGCTTCGGCTTCCTTAATCAGTCTCCCTACTGCAAAGCTTGAAGTTAAGACTTCGTGGGTAAAGAGAGTGGCTCTATTATTTGAAGTGGAGACATCTGCGGAGTTAGGAACCCGGATCCAGGTCCTTTGGGACAGTTACCACAGAGCTGTCCCTCACTCCCCCTCCACTGGGCAATGTTAGATGACAATCCCTCCCACAATGGGTGGAATCTGGGACTTAGGGTTAGAACGCAACCCAAATTCTACAATCAGACTAGACTGGCTTTCTCAAACACACTAATAAAAATAAATTCACCCAAAAGTTATTCATCTCTACTGAACAAAGTATGTCTTAAAAATCTGCTACACCTACAGCCACTGCCAAGTCCAGCACGTGTAATGTGAATCATGTACCACCCCTTCAGAGATGCTTGGGCATTTCCCCCAAGAGCAGACGACAGGCCAGCAGGTGACTTGTGGTGTGTGGCAGGGGTCTGAAAGATAAGCTGGGACAAGGAGGTGCTCTGATGTGAGGTGCTGAAAAATTGAATATCCCATAAAGCACTTAACAGAGAGATATGAGACTAACAAATGAGACCCAGAGAGCCGCAAACATATGCCAATGGCATAGAAAGTGGAACTGCTGTCTCTAAGGACAGACTTTTCAAAGACTTTCCTTGTTCACCTGCCTGCCCTTCCACCTGTCTGAAGCAGCCCAACCTGAGGCCAATTGCCACAGCAGCAAAAGTAGGAGGATCGCAGAACTTTCAGAATCGTGGAGAATCATGGAACTTTCAGAGCTGGCAGGACACCAGAAGAGATGAGCACTAAACATGAACTCTTTGGCACTTCAGATAACACCCAATTCCCTCCAATTATGCTGAAGAATATCAGTGAGTCTCTAGTGCATGAAACAAAAAGAGATAACTAAAATATACAAGTAATCAAAATAAAAAGATAAGAGATACAAACTCACACATCCCCTGTCAAAAGAAAAGCCTAACTTTTCTACTTGCAAATGTAACTTCTCCCTCTACTCTCTTGAATTTTTGTGGGAAAATTACCACATCAAACCAAATCATATTCCATTAAGACTTGAAGGAAACAGAGGAACAGGAGTAGATTGGTTGCAAAATATTGACAATAATTCCTCCCGTGCAGTCCTTTGCAATGTCACTTGCCTTCTCCTCCCAACAA